CTTCCCGACCGCCTCCCGGGGGCGCCGCTGTGTGTCCGGGAGCCTGGTTTCCGGGGAGCCCAGGGCAGCGTCCGCAGCCGGGAAGGGGGTTCTGCATTTCCATGCCTCCCGGCGTCCGATCACGTGACCCCGGTGCCCTCGGTTCGCCGGCCTAACGGGCCTAGTGGTCCCCGTTCCCCCATCCCACCCCACCCCACCCCCACGGCTGCGCTGGAGCCTTCTGGGTAATGGTGTCGAATAGCAACCTCGGGGCTGGCGCGAGCGGCTTATCTTCGTGGGCGCCCCCTCCCGAGCAGCTGTCTCCACCCCCGGCTCTGCTTATCTCGGGGCCCCACTGGCGTGGGGGCGAGTCTCAGCCGTCCCCCGTCTGGGGGACCCCAGGTTGCCTTCTGGTGCTGCCTGGGCCCTTCATTTTCTTACCCTTTGGGGTCTAGGAATCGCAGCCCTCTACTGGGACGCTCGGTTCTTGGATAAAATCCACCAGCAGTTACTGGGCGAGACGTCTTCCGGTTGGAGGCGGGGCTGGAGTTGTCCTGCGGTTGTGCCCGGCCATGGCCGCGTCCCCCCCCCCCAGCGGGCCTGGGTTTCTGTTCGGAGCTCCGAACACAGCGAGTGTCTCAACACCGCCTCCCATCCACCGGCCCGCTGAGCGCTGCCCACAGCGCGCCCCCGCTAGTGGGTTAATTTTAGAAATCCCTCTGCCAGCCGCTCACTGTTAACTGTCCGGGGGGAGGGGGCGCAGGCACCTGCAGGGAAACCCGACACCCCGGGAGGCAGTGCCTCAGGCTCCGCGCAGCCGCCCTCCCATTTCAGGGGCCCGGCTTCCCCTTTCCCTTTGGGGAGGAGCTAATGACCGCTGGGTTCGAAATCCCTCTGCCAGCCGCTCACTGTTAACTGTCCGGGGGGAGGGGGCGCAGGCACCTGCAGGGAAACCCGACACCCCGGGAGGCAGTGCCTCAGGCTCCGCGCAGCCGCCCTCCCATTTCAGGGGCCCGGCTTCCCCTTTCCCTTTGGGGAGGAGCTAATGACCGCTGGGTTCAGTCCAGGAGCGCGGCCTGCCCCTCCCTCACCCGCTCATGTCCCCCC